CTTTACACCCAATTTTTTTGTGTGTACATCTCTTCCTGTTTTGATTGTTCATTATCTTCTGCACATACACTGTGGTAGTAGTCGGATATTGATCGTGTAAATGCTTGCTTTGGCTCTAATCCCTGTGGCTGGTTGTTTTGTGACCATACATTCTGAACACAGTTTAGCTGTGCTGAAAACCAGTACCTCTAATGCCTCATAAATAAATAAAAAACACTGAGAAACTAGAGATTATGAATAGAATGAACTAGTCAGTATGTACAGTGGTTATGTCAAATTGAAAAGGCCTCTTTGGATATTGTATGTCCAGTACATTTAAGCATTAGCCTGGTGTGACGCTGAGAGCTGGTGGCGTGATTGGAGTATTATGCTTTATTGGATGGTGCCAGTATTGACGTGTGTGTTTTTAAAGCCCAGCCCCAACACCACTGATGTCACAAACAGATGTTTTCAGCTGCAGTTACAGAAAGAGAGAGCGGAATATGTTTGCTTCAGTATTTAAGGTCTTTAAATATCATTTAGAAGCTTTAAGCAGAGTCTGCAGAACCACACAAACATGTAAACAGATGTGTTGATGGTGGTTTTTGGTCATATTAAGCACTCCTGTGTTTATTCATTTGGATTTAAAGAATTTAGTCCAGTTTCTAGCAGTTTTCTCTTCTGAAATTAATTGCAAATTTCCACATTATTATTTATATTAATGCCACTGGGTTTTAGTATGACTAAAGCATTTTTTTTCTACCTTGTTTTTTGTAAAAATGACTGAGATGGCAAATCAAATCAAAGAAGATGACACTCATAATTTCAAATGTACTTTTTAATTTTGAACGATGCACAATTGACGGCTAAATTATAAGCCCTCCTGTGTTCATTTCCCAAGTGTTGTTTTTTTTTTTATGTCTGTACTTATGAGTGTTCTGCTGTATTGTAATTCTGTTTGGTATTTGAGTCTGTCTGTGAGTCTAAAAACAAAGTTGATGAACCAGTTTGAAATCTGTTCAAAGATAGTAGAAAGGCCTCTCATGTGTTGAATCATGAATTTATACCATTGAAGTCGAACCGTCAATTTAGAGTCCCAAGTTTAAATAAAGTGAAATTTAAAAAATCATCTGTACATTAGGCTGTCTTGGAGCTGAATGTTTTTTTTTTTATCTTTGTCTCTTTGTAAGGAGTATTTATCATGCTGTTATGCAAGAAAATTGAGTTGCAAGTCAGACACTAAAGTATTGTATTATTTTGAACATCACATGTGAAATATTTAAAAATATATATTATTTTACAACAGGGCTAATACATTTGCCTTCAATTGAATATACAGTAGCAGTGTTTCTCAAAGTGGGTGTCAGGACAGGGGTTATTTCCCAAATCAAATAAATTTGATTAAACTATTAGAATTACCATATTTTATCCATAACCTACAGATGATAAAAAAACACTAGTTTTTAATAGTAAAAAGCAACAGCATGAAAATGAAAAGCCACCAGCCTTTAAATAGATTTTTTTCATTAGATTAACTTGTTTACATTAGATTAACAGCACAGCCATAGCATCAGCAGATTGATACATTAAAAGTAAATACAGGCCACAACTGAATATTGAGAATGATCTCGGATTGGCTGTCCAAAAATTAAACCAAAAATAGACTTGTGCTGAAAGCCTTGTGCCCACCAGTCTCTTTAGCTGAGGCTAATATTAAATTAAACAAATTAATAAATGAATATACAAATTATATGGTTGTTAGACTGTACTTTTTGTGTTATCAATATGCTCATGTTTATATATGGACCGATTGTTGTGTGCGCAACGTCAGTTGACACTGTAAAAAATGCAGGGTTTCACACAATTCATTCATGTTGTCCTAACACAAACCGATTAAGTTAACTTAACAAATGCAAGTGGACTGAACATAAAACAATTTAGTTGTCAAGCTCATTTTAAAGTAAGTAGTTTTAACAAGCAGCAAGATTTTTTTTTGTGTATTCATAACCACCTCCAAGGAATTTGGGGGTTGCAAGTCACTGGCATTGTTATTTTAGGGGTTGTGGGCTGAAAAGTTTGGAAAACCCTAGTATACAGTGCATCTGGTAAGTATTCATAGCACTTCACTTTTTTTTTTTTTACATATTTTATGTTACAGCCTTATTCCAAAATGAATGAAATTAATTTATTTCCTCAAAATTCTACACACAATACCCTATGATGACAATGTGAAAATAGATTTTTTTGAAATTGTGGCAAATTTATTAAAAATAAAAAAGCTAAAATATCACATGTACAGAAGTATACACAGCCTTTGCTGTGAAGCTCTAAATTGAGCTCAGATACATTCTGTTTCCACCAATCATTCTTGAGATGTTTTAGCAGCTTAATTGGAGTTCATCTGTGGTGAATTTAGTTGATTGGACATGATTTAAAAAGGCATACACGTGTCTTTACACCTGTCTATATAAGGTCCCAGGGTTGATAGTGCATGTCAAAACACAAACCAAGCATGAAGACA